AAGGGTTGGGGATCGAGACGTTGGCCGCCAGGACCCAGCTGCCGTCCGAGTCGACCTCGGTGACCTGGAAGCCCTCGAGGGAGATGCCCTTCATCCCGCCAAGGCCCTTGAGGGGCGTCGAATGCTCGGGGGTGATGTCGATCGACAGGCCTGGCAGATCCAGCACGCCGAGCGCCGTCGCAGCGGTGACGTTCGCCACGCCGTTCTCCAGCAGAAGGGTCACCTCGTCGTTGGCCATGAAGTGTTGCACAAACTCGCCGAAGGGCTCGCCATCGCCAGCTAGGTCCAGCAGCCCGTTGAGCTCAAGCAAGGCTTCAGGGTGTGGGGTTGACGGCAGCAAATGGGCGGCCGTCGCCTCATCCTGGTTGTGCAGCTCCCGTAGGGTGGCCCTCAGGCGGCCGAGATTGACGGGGAGCTCGCCGTCGGGGACGCTATGCAGATCGGCCACCATCTCGACGTGGTTGATGCGAATGGGCGATGAGACGCCGAGCGGGTTAACCACCACCACCGCCACATGGCCGGTCAGCCCCACCACGTGAGTCGTGTTGTCTGCCGTCCGGTTGTTGCCAGCGCCGACCGGCTCGTTGAAGTCGATGTTGAAGCTGGTCATGCGGAAGGACTGCACCAAAGGCTCCTCGCCTATCGCCCTGGCGCGACCTGTGCTGCCACTGGTGGTGGACGCACCGAAGGGCAGAGTCAGATCGAGGGCACTCACAGCACCTGAGCAGACAGAAAGTGGGCGTGAAATGAGAACGGGAGCGTTCACCCCCTCCCTCCTGTCTGTCTGTCTGTGTGTCGGTGTTGTTTCTGTCGCTGACTTGAGAAGATGGGCAGCGACGAGTGTTTGCCCTTCGCGGCGACGACGGGCTTCTCCTGCTTGAGAATGGCAGTTACCATCTCGCTCATTGGTGCCCGCCCATCCGTCCCGTCAGCAAGCCGCGACGCAGGCTCCAGACGACCCTTCAATCGCCACGTGTTGCGCCCGCTTTTCAGCGAGGCGCTCGACGCCACGAGCTCGCCGATCGGGAGGGCTTTGTATGCGAGAGCGAGGTGGACGTTGCCGAGTGTCTCGATGGAGAGTTTGTTTGGGTTGTGGAAGACGACGGTGAGCGAGAGGTCGACTCCCTTGCCGATCTCGTCTTCTCCCTTGAGCTCCAGGTCAGACAGCTCGACGCCATCAGCAGCGAGTGCGGCGCCCAGCGAGCCGCCCATGGCTGATGTGATGTGCAGCACACACCCACCCACACAGATGAGATGACGTGACGTACGTGGTGGGGTGGACTGGATGCCCACACTCTCTTCTCACCATCGATTGGCAGGTATCTCTCGTATTTGAGGCTGTTGATGTGGAACGGCAGGTCGATCGCGCCGAAGGGCAGCTCCACCTTGATGTCCAGCCCCTCCAAGCCCACAAACCGCCACCCGAGGCCGTCACTCGCGGCCTGCTCGCCAGGCCTTGCCATCAGCAGGTAGGTGAAGGCATCGAACGACGTCGAATCGTCGACCCTCACGCGAGACTCGAGCGTCAGCGGCGCTGGCGAGCCCTCCAGCACCATCGGCGGCGCCTCCAAGGACCCCATCGGCAGATCAGATGAGGAAGATCCGCCCAGGCCCGAGCGATTTGTGCTGTTGTCTGTTATCATTGGTCGGGAGTGGTTCTCGCTGACGACGCCGTATATCTCGAGCCTGAATGGCTTGGTGGTGACCCTGACGGACCGCGCGAGTCCCTCGGGCCGTTGCATACTGCCTGAGACGGCCAGATCGAAGCCGTAGCCGCCTTTGCCGCTCAGGGAAGGGTTAGAGATGTAGATGGCATCAAGCACCAAACTCTGACCGATCGATCACCAACCCACACACACACACACACACACACACAGAGAGAGAGAGAGAGAGCGTTAACATGTGGTTCGGTGGCCGGCGAGTGTATGTGCGGCTGCCGTTCACTCACCGATTTGTCAAGGGACCTCTGCACCACCCCCGGCAGTATTCCATAGATCCCGACCAAGGCAAGTGTGAGCAGCAGCACCATCACCCCCCCACACGCAAACAGCATCACCCGCCGCCGCCGACGCTTCTTAGCGCCCGCCTCCGACCGCATCAACGGGAAGAGCGGCCGCGTGGCCTCGTCGTGCTGCCTGTAGGTCGTGTCGCGAGTGCTCCCGCCGTGATAGGGGCTGACTGGTGTGCTCCGGATCCACCATAGCATCCGCCGGCTGACAGGCGTGACGGTGTCCGAGGCCGTGTTGGGGGTCTTGTCGTGGGGGGAGCCGTCATCGGCCGCGGAGGTCGCTGAATGGTGGTCCTGGGGCGACTGCTCGTGAGCTGGCGAATGGTCGGACTCGGGCTGCCGTGGGGTAACTCGGGAGGCGTGGTGGTTCTCCTCTATCATGGGAGAAGCCGCGTGAGGCACATCAGGTTCTGGTCTAGGCTCAGCGAGCGGCTCGGGTGACTTGAGGTGGTCTGCGTCGGTGGGGGGGTCCAGATCGAAGTCGTCATCGGCCTGCATCTCGTCCTTGAGCCGGTCTGACAGCTCCGCCAGGACGCTATCGGGCCACTTGAGCCGCACCTGTGGGCTGGGCTGCACGTCGTCTAGAGTGACCGGCTCCTCGCTGTAGGCCAGGCTGTCAGAGTCGCTCGTGGTCACAATGCCTACCCCACCTCCTTGATGCAGTGACGACCTGTGGTGGCCCGGCAACGGGGTCATCATCGAGAGGCCACCGTCAGCCGACCGCCGAGTGAGCATGTGGTCGACGTCCATCGCCAGCCGCTCGCAGTTAGACAGCGCTACGCTATCGAGACTCATACTCGATATGCTCAGTGAGGGGATAGGCTCATCCGGGTCGTGCTCATCGTCGTTGCCCTGCTCGTCCTCTTGCACCGTCCCCACTGTCTGCAGCAGCATGTTCTGCCACGCCTGCTGGCTCTGCACGCCGCGAGCCGTGGTGGAGGGCGTCGGCCCCTCCGACACCGATGTGGTATCGCTGATAAACAGCCGCTCGCCGGTGCTCCCCTGGCCCCTCCTCGCAGTCACGAACCGGTCTGGACTCGCCCGCCGCGGCGGTGCTCCCGATCTGCGGCCAGTCGACTCACACTCGGTGTTGTGGTCATCGTCGCTGTCGATGCCGAACCGGGGAGATCTGCGGACTGACGCCGGATAGTCACGGTTGCTGCTCGGCGGCGTCTTGATAACGTCGATGCCGTGCTGCCGGACCGCCTGCAGGAACGCCAGCGGGGATTCCACCTCGTCATCGGAGATCATCGGGGTAGGAAAGAGGTCGAGTCGTTGCATCCCTATCTCCGATGGATCTCCGAGAGATGAAGCTGACCAGGCGATGCGAGGAGCTCTGAGGCCAGATCACAGTCAGGGACAGCCAACTCTCATCAGATCAGCCTTCTCCTTGCTCCCTCTCAGCACATCTCGTCAAAAAGAAGGCGCTCGGCTGGAAAGCTCGCAAAAATCTGCGAGCTCAAAAAGGAGGGGCGGAGTGCTCGTATTAGCGCTACTCACTCGAAGACGATGCTGCGAGGACTTGACGACTTAGACTCTCGAAGTCCTCGAGTCCTTGAGAGTCGAAGTCGTCAGGCCCTTGCACCATCGTGTCTACGTGAGTGGCGCTAATACGGCTGAAGGAGAGGACTGTCTGATGGTGATGACCTTGGCTCGCAGCTGGTAGAAGAGCGATGAACTGTGGCACCAGCAGTTTTCCCGCCCCTTCTCGTCTGTGACCTTGTTGCCCTCAGTGTGAGGGTGCGGCCGCCGCATTGGTACGCAGGCGGGCAGGCAGCCACACACACATGGATGGATGGATGGATGGATGTGACTCACGACAGGACAGAATCAGCCGAGCGTCTGTCTGTCTGTCTGTGTGGTTTGTGTGCCATGTAGGTGTGCTTGGCTGGTGGCGTGTGGTTTGTGTGGTTTGGCGCCCTTCCGCCCACTACTGGCTGCTGCTCGCCTGTGTGTGTGTGTGTAGTGTAAGATATGTCGGCCGATGTGTCGACACTTTCTTCCGATTGTCATGAGAGATGTATGGGGGTGTATCTGTGGCGTTGGGTCTGCCGTCTGACTGTGTGTGGTCTGTTTGTGATGTATGCTGACGAGAGTGTCTTCATCTCTCGTCGATGCATCCGCCACACACGGGCGGCTCACAGACAGACAGACAGGCCAACACGCGCGCACAGAGCCAGCCCATCGATCTATCCGTTTGCCGGCTTGGCTGTATCATGTGTGTGGATAGGAAAGAGAAGCCTGCCTGTGTTGTCTGACATCGGACGTCGTGTCCTGCCCTCGTATGCGTCCTTCCTCTCCCTTTGTGATGCTCTCTGTCAGCACGTGGCAAGGCCAGAGCATCAGCACATGAACGGTGTTGGTTCTCTATGGTTGCTGGGTGGTGACGTAGATCCACACGAAGGGGGTGGGCGAGTGAATGGAGACACACACACACACACACACACACAAAGAGAGAGAGAGAGAGATCTGTTTGCCTGCCTGCCTGTGGATACACACACACACGTGCTTTGTCTGTATGGGCCCACCACACGCGCACACATGAAGGATGGATGGGAAGCGAAAGAGATGGGATGGAGACGCTTGTTTGGTGCTGCCTGGTCGTCACAAACTCTCGGGTCATCTCACACATTGCATTGAGGGACAGATAGACAGACAGACAGACACAGACAGACATCCATTTCATCTACCGCCCACCTTCGCTTCTGACCTTGATCACACAAACATACAGATAAGACACATGTTTTGCTCTGCTTTTTTCACACCCACACTCTCGATTTGTGGTGGGCTGTCGGTCGACAGTCAGACTCGCTGGCACTTAATGGCATGTCTGGCATTTCATCGTGGAGTCGGTAGCTACTGCACTGCCTGTGTGGATTGGATGAGTAAGTGAGTGATCCCATCGATCCTCTGGCTGGCTGACTGCCTCATGAATCAATTCCCTCAATCTATCCTCTCCATGGCATGACTCCCTTGGATCATTCATTCGTCAGGATAATGAATATGCATGAAACGACGTCCGTCCAACATGAATGAATGAGTATGGACAAACACCCCCCCCCCACACACACACAGTGTCAATCAGTTGCCATCCCTCCCTCACATGAGGCCCTCATGTCAAGGCAGACAGATACCAAATAGATATATCACACGTACCCATTAACTATATAATGGAAACAGTCAGTCTTCTCTCTGCTCCCCCGCCCTCTCCGTGTCCCCCTCCACCCTCCCCTCTCCACCTCCGCCGCCCTCACCGCCGCAACCACCATTTTTCCCCCTCGTACTGTGGCCATTGCCATTCCCTCCGCCGCCCTCGGGTCTAGCTGCAGGTTGGGGCAGGACCGCCTCGTCGCCGCCCATATCCCTCTCCTCTTCCTCGACTCGTCTCGCCGACTGGGGGAGAGGCTGTGTCTGTGTCTGACCACCTATTCTTGGTCTTGCCGAGTGGGGCGGATGGGGCAGATTGTCGAATGACATGGTTGGCTTGACACCAGCCACCGACAAAGCTCCGCCAACCGCTGCCTTGAGCTCGTTCTCGGCCTCAAAACGACGCTGCGGAGAGAAGAAGAGATGCATGACATGTTTGTGTTTATGTGTGTGTGGGCGTCTGTGTCTGTCTGTTTGGGTGGTTCTGTTGGTTGGTTGCCTGCAGGAGTTCGTTCTTCCTTCTGAGGTATAGCTCCTGTTCTCTTCGGCATCGCCTCTCCTCCTCCTGGGCGTCAGTCAACTTGTGCACCTCATTCCAGCAACGCACCAACTCGCGCTCCAGCTCAGAATTCTTAGTCTGACCAATATGCATGAGCACAGACAGACAGGTGTGTGTCAATGCCGTGTGTGCGCTCGGTCGTTTGTTCAGTTTGGCTCGGCTCACCCGGAGGTTTGACATTTCCTTCTGAAGGTCGGCCTCTTTGCGCTCGGCCTACGCACATTGGATGGATGGTACACATACATAGCCAGTGGTGTGTGTGAGTATAATGCAATGCACGGACTCACGTGTGCGTACCCTTGCGAGGTTTTGCGCCATGATGTCTTCCTTGCGCATGACCTCTGCCTGCAGGTGCGCTGCAGACTCCTTCCAACGCTCCAACTGCGGGGGGCCATCAATGCAATGCAGCCATCCACGTCATGGTGCGCATGACAGACGCAGGAGTGCGTGGGAGTGGTTGGCGTATGTACCTCCTGTTGCTGTGCCCTTCTGGCGTTGAGTTTGGTGTCGACTTGCTGCTCCAGCTCACGGTAGCGAGTCTTCATGTAAGACACCTGCAGATAGATCAACAAACACATGAGTGGATGGATGCATGGATCAATGCAGGCACATATGTATGGTGGCCGACTGGCTGACCCGTTCGTCTGCTTCTTCCTTGGCCTTCTGCAGTAGAGCACACTTCTCCTCCAACACGGACACACTGCATGGCCAGCCACCAAACACAACACAACACAACACACACACACACGCACAAGCATACGTAGGGTGGCATGTGTCCGTTGCACGTGTGCGGCGCTTACTTGTAGAGCCTCTGGTCCGATTCCTGCCTCGCGGTGTTGATCTCAGCGCGCAAACGACGAACCTCCTCCTCAGCCAAACCTGATGGATGCACACAACGACACACACATACGCATGCATCCGTCCATCCATCGTTGCGCCAGCCCCACGTACGTACCTTTTGCTTTGTCCTGTTTGAGTGTGCAGACCTCCTTTCTGAGAGCGTTGAGGTCCTCCTCATACGCCTGCTTGGCGGTCTCCTGCTGACTCAGCACAGACTGCTTCGTCGCTTCTGAACGCCTGGCGGTCGGTGCATTCATTCATTGACAAGACACATACACACAGACAGACAGCACAGCTGCAGGGAGGTGCCGACACAAGAGCCCAGCCCATGCGTGCCTTGTCTGACCTGAGGAGGTCTTTGCAGGCCGCCAGCTCGTTGTCACTCTCCTCCAGCCGCCCCTGGCTCGTCTGAATGAACACAACACGTGAATCAACACATACCAACACCAACACCAATGCTGCAGGTAAGTGAGCGCCTGACCTCCAAGTCTCTTTGCAGGTCGCGATTGGTCTCCTTCAGGTACTGCTCAACACGCTGCACACACACACCACACACACAACATGCATGCTCTCGAAGTGGTCAGGATGCCCTCCCTCCCTCCCAGTCCAGTGCAGACCAGACCAGTGCATCCCATCCTGACCGTGAGGTGTTCAATTCTAGCAGCCAACTCGCCCTCGCGTTTGGCCTGCATTTCCTCCCTCGACCGCACCCGGCCCTCGAGCTCCCGCAGCTGGGAATACACCTCAGCCACCTCCTCCCGACTCTGCTTCTGCTCCTCTACCTGGTCCTTCAGCTGCTTCACCAGCGCATCCTTGCTGCATTGACCCACTCAGTGCAAACGACAGACAATGCAATGAATGCACTGACTGCAGACAATGATTGCACTGGGCTGTGCGTTGCGTGTGTCCCCCTCTCTCCAACCGACCCACCGATTGTTCTCCTGCGTCAGTCTCTCTAGTTGTCTTGTTTGTGTCTTCAAGAAGGCCACTGCCTCCTCCTCTAGTCTCAAATCCTCCTCGAGCAGAGCAGTGGCCGACGTTGTGGTAGCCGCGGGCGACATTGGCACCAGCCCGCCATCCAGCAATGGCGAACCGATAGGCCCCCTTGCACTCATGCGGGTGCCAACGCGCGGCCTGGGGCAGTCAAGCCGCTCACATCCCATGTAGGGCGAACGCATCCCGAAACACCTGTAGACTGGACCTGCGAGTCAGGAGGGCTCAGGGTTTAGGGTTAGGGAGAAACCCTGAAACTGCGAGCTAAGCCGAAAGCGAAAGGAAGAGGCCCTGGGAAGAGGCATTTGCATGCGTTGTGTTGATGAGCCAGTCGACTGAGATCTGTGTGTTTTGGTTGAGATGAGTGAGGACGCCAACATCGATTGGAGTGCCGCCGTGGAGGAATGGGCGCGGCAGAGGCAACAGCAGCAACAGCAACAGCAGCAACAGCACCAACACCAGCAGCAGGCACAGGCACAGGGACAGGCGCAGCAACCGCGTCAGGCTCAAGCCGCCGCGGGACCGGCAGCCTCGGTGCTCCCGCAGCAGGAGGCGGCGGCCATGATGCTCAACATGCAAGGTGGGGATGGTGTGAACCAACCGACATAGATAGATCTGTGCAGGCAGAACTGTGTGCTCAGTCAGGCTGGCTGTGAGTGAGTATAGAGTGACATAGATGAATCGAACGGTTCTTCCCATCGGCTGCCTGTCTGCCTTTCTGTCTGTGTGTTTGTTCATTCAGTGTTGACGCCTCCCGCCGCCCCTCTGATGGTGCCGGTCCCGATGCCACAAGACCGGTGGATGCAGGTAGGTGGGGCACGACGTCATACCAATCCAAAATGCCAGCAGTGTGGCTCGCATCGCACTGAGGACTGTCCCTTTGTGTGTTTATTCATCCATTCAGGCTGGCTCGCCTCTCGGCGGGGGTCTGCCGCCTTCAGCGATGCTTCACCAGATGCCTCATGTGGGTGTGCCTCATCTCTCACCACCGCCACCGCCACCACCACCACCTCGTAACCAACACACACACACACACCGTGTGTTGGATGGCTGTCTGCCTGTCCTTCCGTCCGTCCGTCCGTCTGTCCGTCTGTCCGTCTGTCCGTCTGTCCGTCTGTCCGTCTGTCTGTCTCCAGAGGCGTTTGGTGTTGCACCGGTGGGTCTGCAGATGCCCCAATTCGGTGCTGCTCCTGGTGCTGTGGCTGTGCATGGCTTTCCCCCTCCCCCACCCCCTCCAACCACTCCACCAGGGATGACCACACCACACGCAATACAGGCCGGCAGCCCAGCAAACGCGGCACTTGCCGGGATGCAACCGGTGACCCGCTTCCAGCCGCCCCCTCCCCCTCCCCCTCCCCCACCAGCCCCACCACAGGCACAGGCAGCTGCCTGTGGTGGGCCCATGCAGATGCAGATGCACCCCCAGCTGGCGGCCATCATGCAGCAGCAGATGGCCATGGCTGGTGGTGACGTGGGGGCTTTTGGGGATGTTAGTCCTCCTGGTGGTGGTGTGCAGATGGTCCATCATCCCCCTGCTGGCGGCGGCGGCGGCGGTGGCGGTGGGAGGGTGTTGCCTCAGTGGCTGCGGGATGGCCTGAGGGACATTGACAAGAAGAAAGAGGAACACAAGGTAAGTAAGGTGGGCTTGGCTGGCACATCATGATAGACGTGATCGATAGACACGAGCGTCGGTGGACTGGATCTCCCTCTCTCTCTGCGTATGTGTCTGGGGTACTAGAGGAAGGATGATGACGCCGGTGAGGAGGAGGGCGAGAAGGGTGCGTTGCTGACCCCTCCCACTTCTCCCAAGAACGCCAGCACGGCATCTGCAGCTGCAGCGGCGGGCGCAGTGGTGATCGATGCCGACAAGGCAGAGGCCGCTGACGATGGAGTACAGGAGGTCCCGCCAAGCCAACTCCCGCTGGACCTGCAGATCAAGAACGTAAGTACAGATCAGATGGTGGGTGGAATGGAATGACGAGAGGCATCCTAATGATATGTCATGTGCCTCTGTCTGTCTGCCATGGTGTGGTGTGTTGGTCAATCAGGCTGCCATGAAGTTTCTGCTGTCGGTGACAGACGAGGCCTTTGGTCAGGTGGCGAGAGAGGCCCTGGCGGAGAGCAGAGGACGTATGGCCTTCCAGGCCACCACCAAACGACAGGTCAGTCACTCAGTCAAGAACACCACACCACACCACACCACACCCACAGCGTGTCCATTCCATTCCCATCCCATCAGGGCTCTTTGGAGATCCGTTTGCACGAGCGATCCAGGGAGCCTTCCCCTCCCCCCCAGAATCAGCATCAGGAGGAACAGAGGCCACACAATGGCAAGGAAGCGCCACAGCAGCCGAGGAGAGCCGTGATAGCTGGGCTGGAAGACTATGCAGACGATGAGGATGAGACCAGCCCTGTGACACAGCAGCAGGCGCAGGAGCAGCAGCAGCAGCCCATGGTGGGGGTGGGGTGTTCTGTCTGGATGTGGTGTGTGGATCCTATATGCATCTGTTGTCTGCCTGCATGTGGTGGTACAACTCGCTGGCTGCAGGATGATGGTGACGATGAGGACACCTCGACCGCTTTTGTCAACCACAAAGGTGTGTGGACCACGGAGGGAGGGAGGGAGGGAGGGGAGGGACGGGACGGGGGGAGGGTTGCAGCCATCCGTCCATCCATCCATCCATGTGTGTGTGTGTGCTTTGCATGTAGAGCCCCGCCAGTCCCACTACCGCCTCCCGGACAGAGCCCACGCCACTTGTCCTGACACCAGCGACGCGGCCACACTGCGCGCATTCCACAGAAACAAGGCGAGTGGGCACTAACCACATGTGACACACAGAGGACATACACAGGTTTGTGTGCATGTGTGTGTGTGTGCAGGAGGTGTTGTGTGTGCCTTTGGATCGCCCCTGCACCTTCATTGGTTCGAGTAACATGCAAGCACACATTGTCGACACTCATGTATGTCATACAATACATAGTAAACAAACAAAGGAAAGAAGGCTGGCAACCATTTCCTCCACACACACCTGCAGCAGCTGACCTGACCGGCCAGCCCTACGCACCCACACAGGCCCTCATTGTCCCCTGCCTGTGGTGTGTGTGCAGAGCACAGTGTATTCGGAGCACGTCTGTGTGGTGCACACCTCAAAGGGTTGGTTCATCTACCCGATCGGCGGCCAGACCAGAATCATCCCTCTCACTCGCTGCCCATTTGTCAAGGGTGCTGCTGGTGGGGCAGCTGGTGGGGCAGCTGGTGGGGCAGCTCCAGAGCAACGAAAGGCAGATGAGAAGGCAGCCGAGACAAAGGGTGAAGATAAGGTCGGTAAGACGATCAAAGGTGAGGCCTTGAAGTGTGTGTATGTGTGTGTCTTGTATGCTTGTATAGGGTGATGACATTGCTGCCAAGCCGACCCCAGCAGAGGACATCCTTTTGGCTGGAGGCGACCCCAGGAGGAAGCTCGACACACAAATGGTAAATGGTACCAACACACGCGCAACAGTCGATGATCAATCACACCCTAATTTGGATGCCCGGCCCGCTTTTCATTGTCATCCATTCTTTTCTTCAGAGCTGCTTCCAGCTGTCCAGCTCCCCCCGTGTGTACCATGTCGCCCTCTCAGCATCACCATCCAGTGCCCCGCCGCCCGAGCCGTCCCCGCCACCCAGTGACCACCACTCACCCAGACCCACACACGAGCCTGACCATGATGATAAGCAGAGGGCTGGCGACTCCGACGACAGTCGCAGCCACCGGCGCAAAAGGAGAAACAAGAAGAAGAAGCGGCGGCGGTCCGATGAGTCCACCTCACGCTCACGGTCGCGGTCCAGGCTGCGGTGAGTCAAGTGAGCCGGTTGGACAACTGGATGGGTTTATATCATTCCGAACGTAGGCCTTTTCTTGTGTGTGTCAGTTCTCGGCGCGAGGAGGATGATGGAGGTCATGATAGTGAGCGGCATCATCAGCGGTCGAGGTGGCGGAGGGAAAACGACAGGGAAGACGACAGGGAGAGGAGGGCAGACAAGCGAAGGAGACGGGACAGGTACCATGACCACCCACGGGAAGATGGACAAACCCAGACAAGGACACGCACTGGCAGGCGAACCGACACTGGGTTGAATCAGGTTGAATCACTATTGCTCCCAACCTTGCTGTCGCCGCACAGGCAACGCGAGCCGCTCGGCCGCAGCGAGGCTGTCCGGGCTGCACATCGGATGAGCGACGAGATGGAGGAGGGCGAGGTCAAGGAGGGGACACCGCCGACACACCCGGCGCGGAGACCAGCAAACGCACTTGTACGTACTGACCAAAGAATGCACAACAAACCTGTCTGTATCGCCGGTTTTCGGCAATGCGATTCATATGATGTGATTGATGTGTGTGATGGATGTGTGTGCATGTGTGCTGGGCTTGTGACTGACTGGTGTGTTCAGGATGTGCCGGCCAAGGCCAATGGCAGACGTGACGTCTGATGTGCACACCAGACAAGCGGACCAGTGAGTGCAATATATAGCAGAGAACACGTCGTGACGACTCGATTGATTGGCGGCACCTTCGTTTACCCGCGATCATGATGGATGATGAATGAATGCACCGCAACAAGCGTAGCGTACATCTGATCTGAGCTGTCTATCACACCACACATGTCGGTCGGTCGGTCGGTCGGTCACACAGAAACATGTATGTATGTCATCAGATCAGAATCAGTAACCGTCCAGTCCAGCCTTTGATCATCTGTCCATCCATCCATCCATCTGTCTGTCTGTCTGTATCTAGCTGTCTGTATACCACTCACTATACATCCCATATGGCCAGCAATGTACACGACACGCGTTGGGTTGAGCAGTCACCACCCCGTCACGAAAAATCCATCGATCCGTCGACGCGACTCTCCCTGCCCCCTCAGTTCATTCACCATCAGCCGAGCCGGCCCTCTCAAGCAAAGAATGCGCAGACAGACAATGAGTGTTACCTCGCTGTCCCAGATCGCCGCCTTTCATGCACCTGCACGACACACACACACACTCAGTGAGTCTGTCAGTCAGTCGCGACCACCAGATCTTTCCCTCCGTGTACCTACCTGCTGATGCACATTGCCATGCTTCTCGGCTGTCGTGCCACCGCCCTTGGTGTGTGTGTGTGTGCGAGTCCGGTTATCCAGCTTGCGTATCCTCCTCTCGCGCAGCAAGGAAGGGGAGGGACCGGTGCCGATATGGAAGGGCGACTCGCTTGCCGGCTGGTAGAGAGGGAAGTCAGATACGTAGGCCTCCAGCTCGGTGGGCACGCGATAGAGGACGGAATGGGGATTGGAGAGCAGCCACCGCCGGTACAATGATTCTCTGCTGCTACCCAGACGGATGCCCTTGCCGCTGAACTCCAACTTGCCCTCTTCGTCGTTCAATTTCCCCTCGAGTGCAGCATCGGCATCACTCTTGCTGTCACTCATCTGGCCACAAGGAGAGGGATCGTCTGCGCGCTAGGAACCCAGCGATCTTCCTCGCCGCGGCCAAGAGACAATGGTGCGTCATCGCACGAAGACTTCCGTCAGCGCCCGGGTGCTCGTCGGCGCCTTCCTTTGCTTGGTCGCACTGACCATCCTCTGGAGGAGGGGAGCCTACCCAACCATGACATTAACGCAGCAGCAGCAGCAGCGGCAGCAGCAGATGGAGAGGGCCAGCGCTGCCGCAGATACCGCAGATGCCGCCAGCCACACAACAGATAGAGAAGCCTACGACAGTGAGGAATTTGCAATGCAGCCATCCATCAGCAGCAGCATCCGAGGCCTTTCTGCACTGCAAGGGTCCCTCTGCTGGGATCCACCGCACAAACGCGGAGCTGTGGAGGCGCTGGCAGAGACCCTGCTGCCCAACGGTTCTTCATCCCCGACACACCGCAACGCCCCAGTGACTTTGCTGTTTCACGCTGTCCGCCCGTCCTCGTCCTCCCCGCCGTGGGAGTTGAGCAGCTCGATCAAGGAGGTGCTGATCCGTGAGTACCTGAGGGTGGCCGCATCGCGGGAGGCCTTTCCGATGCTCATGAACTTCCTCGGCATGTATGGCAAGGGCAACGGGGGAGAAATCGGTGAGCCAGGCCGGCACCATTATATTCCATCCATCCATCCATCTGTCTGTCTGTCTGTCCTTCTGTCCTTTTGTGTGCGTGTGCAGGTATGTGGGACGCCGAGTACTCTGACCGGCTGGTCCACGTATGGGCGCCGCGTGGGTTCCACCTGATCGACATTCACATGCGGCGGAACGCCAAGGCGCGCCTGGACCTCATCAAAGACGAGCGGAACTTCACCCTACACTTCCACAAGGTGAATAAAGGGCACCACAGCACCGCACCGATTGCTTTCCTGTCGTGTGTGTGGATATATGTGTGTGTGTGTGTGGCCATCAGGGCAAGAGCACAGATGTGGTGAATCGGTTCCCCGACCAGTTCTTCGATTTCTTGTCAGTCAGTCTTGATCTTGGTCCCACTTTATGCGCAGTTTTCTTCGCCTTCAGGTACATCGATGCCAGCCATCGCTACGCAATGGTCCAAAGAGACCTCGCCGCATACTATCCGGTATACACGCATAATGTCACACATCCAGACGCGCGTCTCTCCTGCCACTCGCCCCGCCCGTGTGTGATGTGTCTCTCCATCCATTTGTCGTATCCGTCTGTTTGTCATGTCTGTCATCTCATCACCAGAAGATGAAGCCGGGGGCCATCATGGCCGGCCACGACTTCTGTGCCTCACGCAGAATGCAAACCATCAAAATCGGACACAGAACAGTCAAGGTGAGCCTCTTCCACACACGAACGAAAGCCGTCTCATGTCTCGTGTATATGGATCTCTGCAGGTGCCATGGTGCGGCAAGTTTGACCACGCGAGCATCGACATCAGTCGGAAAAAGATTCACATCCCTGGCCGGGACCGTCCCGACCACAGTGGGTGTGCCAAGGCGGTTTTGGAGTTCTTTGGGCAGCGGCGGGTGACGGTGCGCTATGTGCGGGAGGACCGATATGAGCATGACCTGTGTAATGAGAGGACGGACACACCGTACCCCACACAGAACCCCTCCTGGTGGGTCGTCGTGCCTTCTTCTTGATGGGATGGGATGGGTGGCGTACTGTATGTGTGTGTGTCTGTCCGTGTACTGTATGGGGAGGGACGTCAGTTCTCACTCCGTGCGACAGTCGCTTTTATCAAAATCGCTGATACGGTTTCCCCGTCTGTCCGTCCATCCGTCCATCCATCCATCCATGTGACACTCCCTCCGTTCATCGCAGCCAGTGTCATTCCATCCATCCATCCACCCACCCATATATCATCGTGTTACGAACCCATCCGCTGTCTCTCCCTTCCCTTCACACCCCCTTTCTCCCACTCCACCCCCCTGGCCGTCCCATCTCGACCACACTACACACACAATGTGTCTGACACACATGGCTGTCCTTTATTCACTTGTCTCCATTTTTGCCCTGCTGCACTTTGTCTATCGCCTGGAATGTAAGTCGCGGCCCCCACAGCCGCGGGCGGGGTATGTTGACGTTGGGCATGCGCGGGTGGGGATGGCGATACACAGGAGGTCGGAAGGGATGCCCTTGAGGAGATGGGAAGGGATACCCTTGGCCCTGAGGGTCGTGGGGATTCCGCTGAGCATGGGGCAGAGGGGAAATGGGTGGCGGCGGGCGGGCAAGTACAGGTGCGACGATGCGGGGGGGAGGAAGGGGCCGAGGGGGGTTGACGACCATAATTTGTTGAGCTCGTTCGACCTCAAATCGGGGGGGCAGGACGAAGGGGGGATGTTGCACAAAAACCGGCGGCATCTCCTCCACCCGGGGCGGCAGCTCCAGCATCGCCACCGGCACCGCCCCTGGCAGCACCTCGTCAACTAGTGGCCTCACATTGTCCTGCCAGCTCGCCCCGGGAGACACCGGCCGATGCTGATTCATCACCGGCCGACGACTACACGGGATACGTTGCACAGGCGGGGACACCTGTCGCGGCACGTCGATCACCTCGCCGTTCTCACCGGCCCTCCACACACGACCAGGCGGCGGATTCCTCGGAGGGAAGTGGGGGTGGGGCGGGGGTGGCGGGGGTGGCGGGGGTGGCGGGGGTGGCACCCGGTGGGCCTCTTGCGATGGCGGACCGATGTTGATGTTGCCGTGGGCAGCCGGCGCCAGATGGATGGTCAGCGTGCCGTCAGCGGAAGGCACCCCATCGGGAGGCGCAAGTAAATTCTGCAAGATGAACCGCAGCAGCGAGGCATTCTGAAAGGAATGACAGGGAGGGAATATGGCTGGCATTGTCCGGGCGTCTCTTGACCACAACGGATGACTGACCGGTCGGGTGTTAGTGGCCTGGCTCCTTCCGGAGAGGTCCCGCCCCATGGCCTCTAGATCTCTGTTACACAAGGGGCAACGCCTGTGATCTTCCAGCCACCGTTCGATGCACGACACTGACACACAGACAAGGACAAGGACAAGGAGGAGACATGAGCACACACACAAAATGAATGTTCCTCTCTGTTTTGGCCTTCAACTTCTGGCACCGTGGAAATATTTCTGACAGCAGATGAGCTTGCGCACCCAGTCACCGACGCGAAAACGCTCATAGCATATCACGCAATACTGCACACCAACGTCAACCATGAATGCTCCTGTACATGTGCTCATATGTGCGGCTCGCTCACGTCTCCCTGAAGCTCCTTGACTTTATCTGTGTTGGTGCTGTTCCTGCCGCCGTGCTCGTGCTCGGCAGTAGCAGCGGCGGGTGCAGATGAAGACGACGACGATGACGATGATGACGATGAAGAAGAGTGCTTCTCCTCACTGTTGCCCGCCTTAGCCTTGCTCTCCGTGCTTGGAGCCTCAACAGAGCCCTCCTGACTTATATCGCCCTCGCCACGATACACACCCAGCGACGACACACACCGCAAACTCCTGCGTGCAGCGAGGCGAGCAACATGCACAGATCCATCCCCCACACACACACATGTCTCCTCCTTCCTCCACTCTCTGTCTGTCTGTTGTCAGCTCACGCCAAAGAAATCGGGTCGCTGCCATCGGTCCCGTCGAGAAAGATAGGTTCCAGAAATGCCGGTGCCCGTATGTGCAGCCGATGGCGCGCCCGCTCCAACCGCCCCCGCTGTCTCCCCCCCGCCCGCCCGCCGTCGTTCGACCCCTCACCCACACCTCCACCTCCACCTCCACGTCCGCGGCCATCGAAGGGAGACGGAGACCTCCACTCTTGCTGCTCCGTCTCCTGATCTCCGATGATCTCCCGTATGGCCCTCAGACTCGCCTCGTCGATGGAGCCCTCCCTCGCTGCACGTTCCAACCCAGCTATCTGACCACGGTCACCGTAGCTCACCGGGCTCACCGCTGGGGACCGACTGAGCCGGGCCGTGCGATGATCGGGCTGTCGAGGGGCCTCTGGGCCAGCAGAAATGTCCGTCGTCAGCCCTCCTGTCAGCGGATTGGCGGCGTTGGAGCCTTGTTCATCTGTGCTGTAGGGGAGGTCCAAGGCGTCATCTTCGGTGGCCGTCATGGCCCAGTGGGCGTTGGGGTGGGGAGTGGGAGGCCGGTAGGACATCAAGGAAAAAGAAAAAACCTGAAGAACAGCCGGCGTCGATCCATCCGCGATGGGGGCGATGGGATGGGGGCGTCTTCTGAGGCCGGAGTTGCCGCCGGTGGTTGTCTTGTGCTCTGCTTAGGCCAGGGCGTCTTGAACTGTCACTCATGTAGACGACGAAGTTAGCCCTTGTCATCCATCCCGTATCGCAATTGCAAAAATGAGGGGCCCGGCGCTAAGGGCGCTGCACCGGATGGATGGCCACTCTTCTACTCAACGACCTACTCAAGATCCTTCTTCCCGTGCCCAGTCGGCTGCCCCTTCCCGCCCAGAGCCTTGCCCTGAGCCCATGACGCCGCGAGACCGCCTCGCAACGCCCTCGCACTCTCTTATGGATGTTGAACCACCGCAGCAACGAAGAACCGACCCTTCAGCTAAGACACCGGCCCCCTCACGGTACCTCCGCACTGGCCTGGCGCCTGACCGTGTCAAGCCTCCACAGCAATCATCGCAGCAGCAGCAGCAGCAGCAGCGCAGGCCCCCGGCAGGCAGAGGCCGCAGTGCAGAAGGGGCTCGGCTGCACCTGGCAGAGCCACGGCCAGCAGACGATGACGACCGCAACAACAGAATGGCAGGGCGCGGCGGGAGAGGGGAGGAGCGGCCCCTCCGCTCCATCCTTCGCAACCCTCTCGCCAGCCCAGCAGGGGAGGACTCATCTGGCAGCATTCTCCCTGAGCAATACTCTGTGTCTTCTGCTGCCAGCTCATCTGCCGCCGTCATCGAAGGCCCCAACACGCGACCGCTCGAAAGCGCCGCCCTGTTCGACCCCCGCACATCAGCAGACCGGGCCAACAATGTGCCACGGGTGGCGTTCCTCTCACGGCCAGCAAGAAACAACGATGGCAACGAATCAGGAGCCCAGGAGCCCCAGGTGCCTCGCCGGTTCCGGGTGGTGCGAGAGCCTGAGCAGTCCAACACACCCGACTGGGGGACTCCCCGTTCTGTGGCTTCTGATGCTGAGAGAGCCCAGAGGCCGCTGTCTGCACGAGGCGAATCTTTCGGCCAAGGGCCGAACGATTTCGCGTACCCCATTGACGATGGTGATGGTGATGGTGAGGGGTGGCTCAATCCGCGTCCTGGACCATCTGGTGCCGATGACGAGCCGTCCAATCTGCAGGAGCGGCAGGCTTCCGGGCTGGCCGACCTGGAGAGGCTTGGTGGTGTCGACAGGGCGAGTGTGGCCCTCATGCGCCGGATGCTGAGGGAAGACATAGAGGATGTGCAGGGGCAGCGGCAGGGTGGGGCGGGCAGGGGAAGAGCTGCAGGCAGGGGGACTTATCATGGGCAGCAGATGAACATGCCCAACATGCCCAACCGTCCGCCTCCCCCTACCCATCCGCCGCCTCCCCCACCGCAGGCCCCACGGCCCTCTCTCGTGGTATCTCGTGCCAATGTTCCCTCCCAGCCTGTCCCGCCCCACTTTGGTCAACGAACCGGCCTGCCGTTCCCTGGTCGTGTTGAGAGGGGTCGTGGCCGTGAGAATGGCGCGATGATCGAATCAGGTGTCGGCATCCGCACAGGAGGAAGGGGAAGGGGCGCACCATTCGATCCAGCCCCACCTATGACACTCGAGTAGGCAAAGGCGGCAGAGGAAGGAAGTCGTAACCAATACAAACACCATTCCCCCTCTTGCTCTGTGTGTATTGTGCATCAGCTGTCTGCTGCGTGTGTCGCGTCTGGGGCTGTATCGTGGTGAGGGCGACATCTGTGAGGAGAGGGACACGCGACTGGTGGACGACAAGAAGAAAAACAAGGAGAAGGAGAAGGAGAAAGACAAGGAGAAGAAAAAGTATCCCAAGGAAAAGCACCCAACGGCCCTGTACAGTCCCCGAGAGGATGCGGCCGGCCCCCAGCCGTCATCTTCGGCGTCGTCATCCGCTGCCAACGATGATGGAGCCATACTCAAGGGCAAGGGCGGGCAGGATGATGTAAGTGGTGAATGAATACATACATGAGCTCAAGAGGAGGTCTGTATGTGTCTTACTGTGTGTGTGGGTGTGCAGCTGTGTGTGATATGTCAGCAAGGGTTTCACATTGGATCGATCGTACGGCGCCTCCTCTGTTGTCGGAAATATTATCACGGTAAGCAAATGACACGTACGGGAAGACTGCCTGCCTTGCTGCACGGTACCCACATGTGATGTGGTCTCTCTCCTTGTTTTCTCCTTTCGTTCGTCAGTGTACTGCATTGATGATTGGTTGAAGGCAACAGCTCGCTGTCCGCTTTGCAACCAGACACTTTCCGACTTCCACCCACCGCAGCCACAGCAGCAGCAGCGTGGTGTGCCCCCTCCTGGCCACGGAGCAATGTGGGAAAGCTGGCGAAACGGGTTTCTCATGGCGGTAGCTAACCTCGATGTGCTCAGGGTGCTCAGGGGGACACTTGGACGTTTCTGATGTGTCCCCTGCCTCCATTGTTGTGTGGATGCGTGCATGCAGCACCCCCACTTCGCTCGTGGTGACCGTCCATCTGAGTCTCCTACTACTCAGTCGACGAATGAGGGGCCGGCCAGGACTTTTCGCCGACCTGCACAGAACAGGCAACACAGGCCGCCCGAGGTGAGCGGGGAGACAGCATCGTCTGAGCAATCATACACACTGCCGCCAGAGGTGAGTATGTAGACAGCATCGTCGTTGCACTCACACATATGTGTGTATGCGTGTATGGCTTTTCTGCTTGTCCATCTGTCCAGCTCCTTGGCGAGCTTCACCAGATCATGAGGGAGATCGACGGCCTTGACACGCCGGCCCTTCAGCGCCGTCTTGCCGCACTCCGACAGCGGTGGGAGCACTGTCGGCACCAAATTGTCCAGGACGCCCGCCAGTACCGCCAAGAGCAGGTTCAGCGGCGACAGGTCGCCCGAGACCGGAGGGAAGGCACCACAGACGACCCGCCCCCTCCCCAGCTCGTCTCTCCCTCGCGTGATCGTTCTCGCAGCGTGTCTCCACGACCACGACCAGCACCACTTCCCAGTACAAGTGGTCCACGTATTTCGACGCCCCCACCGCCCATCCCTGGCCGACCCCAATTCGCGCCAGGACCTTCTCATGCTGATACTGCTGTTCGTGTCCCTGCCAGCATGAGGCGCGAAGTCGCTCAGATGCGTCGACAGTTGACCCCTACTGCTCGACCCGCGCCAACCGTGAGGCAGCCATACCGTCCCCCAGTCCCACGGCTTGACATGCGGAGAGTGCAGGCAGCTCGCATTGAGCCTTGCAATCTTCCGTATCCACCACCCTCTCTGCGTGGCTCGTACAGCCCGAGGCCGATGTCTCCAGCGCGCAGCTCCCGCAACAGAAACCCTGAACCGCCCACTTCACCTGATGATGAGAGGGGTTCCATGTCGGAGCGACCTTACGCGCCGCCTCTGTCCAGCACCACTTATTCCCGAGGCGCTGAGGGGACGGGGGATGGGCGAGATGGGCAAACCAATGTGGAGACACGAGCAGGAGAGCGGCCCGGCACGATGCAAGAGGGCGAGGGCGGTACATCTGGCAGTGCGTCGGGTGGTGGGGCTGGCGATGCTGACCAAGCACCGAGCGGCGGCCCTGACGCAGCAGCAGCAGGAGAGGACGGGGATGCGGACAGGCCGCCTCAGGCAGTGACGGTGATTCGCCGCGACAGCAGCAGCCCCCACTTTGGCAGCCCCGCTAACTCATCTGTGGCCGGTTCCTCATCCAGCGAGTCTGAGGATGACTGGTGATTGATTCATACGCAGAAATGATATCCATACGATGTATGGAGGGGGGCGAGTGATAGCTAGATGGGCCAAGATGCATGTATGTATGATCGATGGCGGGTTGACGGATGGATTAGCAAAGAGGGAGGGGAGGAGGACAGACACATGATAGATAGATACACAGACAGGGAAGGAAGGGGACACGTAGTTGACTGCCACGGAGCGATGTGGTTGACTGCGTAGCCAGTCTTTTGCATGAGAGAGAGAGAGAGTTGCGATTGGTCAATCGACAAGACAAGACAAGACGAACGTCATTCATACCACACCACCACATATATGATGCGGACACACAGTCGCATGTCTGTCTGTCATTGTTTGAAGACAACAAGAACGAACGGGAAAGAGAACGATGGATGCAGCGATTGCCGTTGGTGTGGCAGCCAGTGAAGCAGGCACCCATACATGTAAGGGCGCACGCGTCTTGCAAGCAAGTCATACAGAACATGCAGCCAGCAGAGTGACAAAAAAAAGCAATTCCCGCACTCACTTCTGCCTGTGTCTGTCTGCCTGTGGGCGGGCGGGGGGTGTCTGTCGACTGACTGTTAAAATGCGTCTGTCCGTCCATCCGTCCGTCGAGAAACCACTGCATTCATTCACGCAGAAACCCACGTGGCCACCCGTGCAGTCAGGGCCTCCTCCCCCTGTCCGTGTATGTATGTATGTATGTGCGTGTAGTGTCACATGCATACAAACATTTCCAACGAAAAACAGCGGTGGCCCCACCCACATACATACAGATACACATAAATGGGATCGAGGCAGGAGAAGCGAAGAGGCCTCATAAATATCCCTCCAACACACACACACGCCCATCCATCCATCCATCCATCCATCCTGAATGGGTACCGTCGACAGTGTCGACCTGCCTCCTTTCCTTCCATCCTGCCTTTGTGGCTTGGCTGGCTCTCTGTGTGTCTATGGATGTTTAGTGTGCCCCGCTCATGGAGGGAGGCATGCATGGATCCATTGACACACACATGCACGCACATACATACACACGGACGGACAAATTCGTTGTCAATAAAGGCCACCCATCCATCGATTCGATCACACAGCTTATGTAAGTAATCAATCTGTAGATAGATAACACAGACAGCACCCCCATGTCGCCCGCCCATCAGGCGTTCGCTATACAGCCTCTCAATCAACCAGAGCAATCGTATCGTCCACCGTCCGTCCGCCACTCGTCTGTCTGTCGACCGTCAAAGCAAAAACGACTCACTCACTCACTCCCAACACACAGACACACAAACACACACAAACCCTCCAAAAAGCAGAAGGAAGATCACCTCACCCAGACATACAGACCGACTCAGTTGCCCTCCTGCTGCCTGTCCTGGCCCTGCCTGTGTGTGTGGTTGCTGGTGCTGCTGCCGTTGGCCCCCTCATACACCACAACAGGGGGAAACCGCACCACAGTCGGCCTGCCCTCTCTGATGGCATCTCTGTCCGGCGACCGAGGGTGAGAAAACGACGCCCGCCGCCTGCTGACGTACCCACGCCTCGGCGAGATGGTCTCCCTCTCCCAAACACTAACACCACCACCACCACCAGCATTGTTGTTGTTTGCATGATTGGCCGCCGACTCCAGCTGCTGCAGCCGCTGCATGATGACGGTGTGGCCGGCTGGCTGCTGCGGGTACGAGTGAGACAAACTCGCCTCCTCAATGCCGATGCTGCCGATGCTGTGGTGGTTGCCGTTGTTGTCTGAATTGCTATTGTTGCTATGTCTGGTGTGCTGCTGCTGAGAGTGCACCAGGTGCATGGCTGCCGAGGGCGGCATAGAGGCTTGGTGGTGTGGGGCAGGGTGGGAGGCCACGAGGTGGGAGTAGGGGTAGGGGGGGGCGTGGGGAGGGCGGTGATGGCCATGGCCATGGCCGGGGGGGTGAGTGTGATTGTGGTTGTGATTGTGCCCCCCTTGTCCACCAGACTGCGCCGGCTGTGCTTTAGGCGGTGGCTGGGCGGTGACGTGATGTCGCGCCAGCTGCTGCATCACAAACCGAGACCTGAATACAGACAGGCACAGCACACGACACATAAACAAACATGGTGGTTCGGTACATCCATCGCTTCTCGTGTGGCAGTCGTCAAGTCACCTGATGTCATCCCTCGCGAGAGGCACGACCCGTTCCCCCTCCTCCCTGTCCCTGTCCCTGTCCTTCTCTTCTTGTATAGTGGTGGGCGGAGGCCTCTCAACCGTGACGGTGACGGTCTCCTCAGGCACCGGCTCAGGAATCGACACTGCCACAGGGGCAAGAGCCGGCCGCTTCTCCACGCCAAACCCAACACCCACAGCCATGCCAGCAGCAGGCGACACCACCCTCGCCGGCAACGAGACAGGCAGCGGCTCGGCCGCCCTCTCCTCTATCATGACCTGCTCTGCCGAGGATGCTGCTGCTGCTGGTGCTGCTGGTGCTGCTGGAGCTTCAGCTGTTGCTGCTGGGCTGGTGATGGTGAATGCGGTTGTGGCCCGCTGGATGGAGATCGGCGAGCCGGTGGGCGGGGGGAACGACACGTGGTAGGACGTCTTGCGGTCGGGCAACTGTGACGGCTCCTGCTGTTGCTGTTGCTGGGCGGGGTGGGGGCTGGGGTTGGGGTGAGTGGTGGGCTGGTGCCATGGTGGGGGGCCCAGCTCTCTGCATCAAAAATGACAGACGGTCTGACGGTTTGACGCTTTCTTTCGTGTGTGTATGGGCGCAGAGGGATTGTCCTGACCGTACCTACCGTAGCTCGAAGTAGTACTTGGCGTAGAGCGATCCGTCGATGTGGAGTTTGAAGTCAAGGTAACCGCAGAACCACCGCTCCAGCTACACTCATTCATGCCCCACAGGACAAATAAATCATCGCACTCCCTCCCTCCCTCCCTCCCTCCCTCACCAACCCATGCCATGTGTGTGCCGTTCGTTAGTTTGTGTGTGAGTACCTTTACTCACCTGGTTGATGGACTTGAGGGGGAAGTCTTCGCAGATGTCGGCGAATTCGATGTTCCAGCATGAGATGTCCTCCCAGACCTTGGATGCCAGCAGCAGACCCGCCAGCACCAAAGGCTTCCACGTTGTCGCCGTCAGCTCAACATCCGTCAAAGACTGATTGATCAGATCAACACAGCACACACAGCACACATACAGTGCAGTGGGCATCGCATCGGTAGAGGGAGGAGAGAGACATAGATGGGGATGGAAATGCATTCAATGCATGGAAGGATTGGACATCAGTTCTTCTTAGAGGTACTTAGCCCATCATCGACCGATCACTGGGATAGACCTCCGGTGCTACGTGTTATTTAACAAATCATCCTCTTCGCCAACATGGAAGCACCACCCCACCCTGGCCTGCCTGCCATCTCTCTGTCTGTCTGTCTGTCTCATATATCTCCCCCACCATACCATGAGTCGTTCGATATAAATGAGGCAGATGACGGGGCACTCAGAGCTCAGCTGCGCGCGCCGACACAGACGACGGATGAACTGAAACAACTCCGAGAACTTCGGAAACTGAAAACCACATACATGACGCACACAAAGGAAGGAAAGGATACACCGATCCAGTCCGTCCGCACCATGAGTGTCATGGCCAACCACACCCATTCACCGTCACGTCTTTACGTCAGGTACCGGGAAATTCCGTTTGATGGACTTGGCCCTGTAGAGTGTCGATGGCGGCACTATCCCCACCCACAACGGCACCAGAATCCGGAAACTACACAACACAACACAACACAACACACACACGCAGACCAGAGAGACGGACACGAACAACACATTACATACATTGAGCTGACTGCACCGCACCTCCTTTGGCCCACCCACTCACCCCACCCTAGCCTGCCTCCCCTCCCCTCGCTGCACTGACCCACTCAGTGACTTACTTTTTCTTGATGAAGAGCCTCTCTTGGAAGTGCGCCGATGCGCTGTTGGCGTCCATCCGGGTGCTGTCAGACCGGCTGTTGCCGAACACTCCCCCAACCCCACTCCCTCCCCCTCCCCCGCCCCTCCTGCTGCTCGCTGAGCCTGACCGGCCCCTCGAGGCCACCAGCTGCCGTGACGGCGACCGGTTGACAGTTGTGGCTGGGGACGACTGCACCATCTGCAAGTCGCGCTCGCGGTGCTGCCACGCCAAAAGATGACGAAACAAAAACCGACACACCCTGACCGATAATCGATATGTCCATAAAGCAAGCAACATAACAGAGAGAGAGGACAGAAAGGAGACTATTTATGGTATGCGTCACCGGTGAGTCTGGTGAATGGCTGGCTGACTGACTGACCTCCAGGTCATTTCGTCGAGTCGGTCGAGCTTCGCAGCCAGCCTCCTCGCAGCTGGAGTGGCGTACCGCATCGCCGCTGCTGCAGCTGACGGCTGCTGCTGCTGTTGCTGTTGCTGTTGCTGCTGTGCAGCACCTGAGACCCTCTCACCACCACCAACAGCACCAGGCCTCTGGCCCACACCGATACCCAGACCGCCCTGCTGTGGCTGCCCGGCTCTTTCATCGCTCGCCGTCCGCTCTCGCCTGGTCTGAATGGGTGGCGGGACGAAAGCCTGCCTGTTGGGGATGGGGAGGGAGGGGTGCAGGGGCGGACGGGAGGACGCAGATGCTGCTGATGATGATGATGCAGCAGGGGCTGCAGGGAGGTCCTGCATTGATGTGCCGTCAGCTGAAGTGGCGGCGGTGCTGTGGCTCGCTGTGCTGGTGCGGTGGTCGGGGTGCTGGTGGGACGGTTGATGTGGAATGCCATCACCAAGGCCCTGAGTGAGTGAGATGAGTGAATGAAGCAAAGCAAAGCAAAGCACACAGACACAGACGCACAGACAGACACACACACCGAGAAACCATGCATACCTTAGCAGCGTGCCGTGCATGCTACTGTCTGTCTGTGTGTGTCATTGCTTGAAGACTCACTCACCCACCCACCTGCTTTGAGGCCACCACAGAGGCCACCTCCCCATACACATGTTCCTTCCTGCCCTCCCTGTCACCTTCACCACCCCGGCCAGCAGCCACACTCGTGAAGCGCACCAATCCGCTGGGTGCTGGTCTCAGCGACGAATAGCTGGCGGCAGCGGCAGTGGCAGCAGTCGGCAGGTGTGTGTGGTTGGGGATGATGACGTCCTGCGAGGCGAACTGAACCGACATGCGTCAGCCACACGCCAAGAGGACGCCCAGGCGCGACCTGCTGCAGGCCTCGTGACGATTGCTGTGCGGGAAGCGGATCTTGACAGTCAGAAACGCATCAGAGTCAGACGATGACAGATCTCTGCACCCATTGCCGGCCTCCCTCGCTTTGCTTGTGCTGTCTGGTGCATGCTCTCAGCTCGCAAACCGTTACACGGCGCGACAATCGATAGCCGTCGTTTTTCTGGTTGGTTTCGTCTGTGTGATTCGGCTCCTGTGACGGCATGCAGAGGTCCGCATCCTCCGGCTCGGGGGGAGTGCACCTGCGCACGGCATGGGAGAAGAAGTCCCTCCACGAGTCGGCCTCCTCATCCAACGGCACGGTGGCGCACGACAGCCACGGCAACATCATCATACCCCCACGACCCACACACGCCGTGAGTGCCACCGACTGACACATCACCTCATCCTCACACGGCACCACCGCCGTGTGCATGTGTGTGTCTGTCTGTGTGTGTGTGTGTGGTTGTGTGTTCCCTGTGTGTCAACAGGAGATCAAGGTGCGTCAGGGTGAGTACAATGAGGGCGAGCATCCGTTGGAGACCGCTTGGACCTTCTGGTTCGAGAAGCGGGACCACACGGCATGGGACAAGGCCAAGCAGCAGCAGCAACACCAGCACCAGCAACACCAGCACCAGCAGCACCAGCACCAGCAGGGTCAGGGTCACCCCCACCCCCACCCGCACCCGCCGCACATGACGCTGGACGAGTACCTCAGCCACATCAAACACATCGGCACCTTCAACACTGTCGAGGGATTCTACCGGTAGGGACCCAGACAACGTGGGACTGGGTGGTGTGTGGTGAGTGGTGTGGGAGATCTCTCTCTGCGTGTGTTGTGTGATTGATGTGTTGCGGTGTGATGGTATGGTATGGTGTGGTGTGTTGTGTTGTGTTGTGTCCACTACCTAGGTACTATCGTTGGATGCATCATGGTTCTGAGATCGAGGGTGAGTTCAACCTGTCGCTCTTCCGCAAGGGATGCAGACCCATGTGGGAGGTACGCCAACGTCACGGCAGTCACCTCACACACACACAAGGAGAGAGGACAGGAGAGGGATGGGGGGAGGGAGTACACAGTGTGCCTGTGTTTGGGTGGTCCTGTATGTGTGAATGGTGTGTGTGTGTGTGTGTGCAGCAATTTCCGAACGGTGGTTGTTGGATCGTACGTGTCAAGAAGACTGACGACGGCAAAACCCTAAACACACTCTGGGAGAAACTAGTGAGTCATCACATCAGCCATCCCACCCACACCCACACCCACACATTCACAGACACCACACATGATGATGTGTGTGATGTGATGTGATTTGATGTGTTAGGTGTTGGCGTGCATCGGTGAGGTGTTTGAGATGGCCGAGGTGGTCGGCTGCGTCCTCTCATGCAGACACAAGGTAACCGCACACACACACACACACACATGTATGTGTGTGGTATGTGTGTGTGTGTCAGGAGGACGTGATCGCTTTGTGGAATGACTGCAACGACACCAACCCCAAAATCAGATTCGCCATCGGGTAAGACTCGGCCGCACCACACGCCCACCTATCACACACACACACACATCCCTCCCCCTCATCATGTGTGGGGTGTTGCGTTGTGTTGACGCTTACTATCTGTGTTGTCTGTGTGGTGTGGTGTGCAGGCAGCGTTTGCGTGAGGTGTGCAGTTTGGACGCCAATAACATCATCCAGTACAAAGACAACAGCAGCGCCATGAAGGTAAGTAAAGTAAGGTACACACAACACAACACAACACATGCCACGCCGTGCCCACCTCAGCCGTGCCAACATGAATGACATGGAGGGAGGCAGGGAGGCATGATGACATGGCTGGCTGGTGCATTCACTGCAATCATATCATGTGATGGATGGATGCTTTGCTTGCCATTAGGACTTTTCTGCCTACAAGAACGCCCGCAACTACACGTTCGCTACCGCCAACACAAACAACACAAACACCCCACAGCAGCACCAGCAGCAGCACGGTACGCAAACCGCACCACCAGTCCATCCACCACACCCATGACCTGAACCCATTTATTTCCTTTGCTGTTCGTTTTGCTTTATTTCTGGTTTTGTGGTTCAGATGCCCCCCGCCACAGCGTGGCGTCGTCTGCGTCCGCATCCGCCCTCACCGCGCACCCCCACCCTCACCCCCCTCGCCCCTCTGCGTTCATGACCCCCTTCTCCACACCCGACGGACCGCACACACCCACCGCACCCACCGCACCCACCGCCCACCCGGGCCCACCCGGCGCCACGCCATCCAGCACCAAGAAGAAGAAACACAAGAAAAAGAAGAAATCGCAGTCGGCCAACGGCGGCGATGGCAACGGCGACGGCGGCACACCGGAGCAGGCCAGTGAGGAGGCCAATGGCAAGGAGGAACAGACACAGGGTCAGGGGGAGGGGGAGGGAGAGGGAGAGGGAGAGGGAGAGGGGGGTAAGGAGCCGACGGCCGAGGAGGGCAAGGTGGCCTCGGTGCCTGCGCCAGCTGCGGCCAAGGACGACGGCTGGCGTGTGGTGGAGACCAAGAAGAAACGCAACAGCACCAGTAAGCCAAGCCTGCAAAACCACACACAGCACAGCCATGGCATGGTGTATGGCCGAGTGACTGACCATCTCATGTGTGTCCTCAGGCACCCACGCCCAGACGCCGCCTGCGAGTGTTGTGAGTTTGAAGGGGGCCGAGGGTGAGGGCGGTGAGGGCAGCGGGGGTAGCGGTAGTGCCAGTGCCCGCGTCAAGGGCACCAACCCATTCGCACTCAATGTCTCTGAGGGAGAGGAGGAGGAAGAGGAGGACCTCGAGGAGGGGGGAGAGGGAGAGGGAGAGGGGGAGGCTGCTGCCGATGCCCAGCAGGAGCCCTTCGCCGCCGTGACACAGGAGGCCGCCGACCACGAGCAGCCGGAGCCGCCCACCACCACAACGCACGACGAGCAGCACCCGGCCGCCCCCATTGAGACGGCACCCATCGAGGGCACTCCGGAGGAGGAGGAGGACGATCGCAAGGTGGAGACGGCCCCGGCTGTGTGTGAGGTGGTGACTGAGAAGCATGACGATATCGATAAGGAGGAGGGGGAGGTGGCCAAGGAGGTAGAGGGTAAGGGCGAGGAGCGGACGGGTGGTGGTGGTGTGGAGGGCGACGACGCCGCTGGTGGGGCTGCCTCTGGCGGTGCTGCTGATGGTGCAGCAGCAGAGGAGGAGAAAGAGGTGGACAAGGAGAGGGAAGAGGGGGAGGGAGAGGGCAGCACGCAGCAGCCGCATGAGATCACTGTCGCATGATGGGATCCATCCATCCATCCATCGGTCGCTATTGTGTGCTTAAGTGCCTACTTATGTCTGTCTGAGTGAGTATGTAAAGACTCCCTTACTCTTCTTGTTTGTTATCGATGCGGGCGGGGCGGGGTGGGGGTGGGGGTGGGGGCCAAGAGAGGAAGGTTTTGCACGGCTTCCTTTTTGCTCAGTCAGTCAGTCAGTCAGTCATCGCACGCCCTGAAGGATTCATCCGTCCGTCGGTCAGTACACACACTACACCCTCACACGACACACAAGACGACAGACCACACGTGGCCCTCTCGCCCCCATGCACTCACTACACGTCCCCTGCTCGCCTCGCCTCACCTCGCCCGCTCGCTTGTGTAAGTCGCCTGCCTGCCTGCCTGCCTGCCCGCGTCTGCTTTCTGATCCTTGGTACGTATGCCTGGATGTATCACTCACTTGCTATGCTATTCCCTGTGCGCGCCATCAACCACTGCTCTGTGGGCGCTCTTTTCTCTCATGACGGTGGGTGGCACGGAATTTGCCTCTGTGTCGATGAACAGTGGCAATCGCCGTGCCATCCATCGGCATGGGAGGAGACAGCTGCCACACACACACATACACACACGTGATGTGATGTGATGTGCCCCGGCCAGCCAACCAGATTTGTCGTGTCTGTTTGTCGGTCGCCATGTCATCGATCGAGCAGAGAGGAGAGAGGAGCAAATGGGCGAGAGAGGAAGAAATGCTTCATGTGGTCTCTGCATTGTCCTTGACTTCCTTGTCATCGTTTCTACCTCGGTTGGGCCCAATCGAGATGGAACAGATGGTGGGGTGAGATGGCAGCAGTGCAGAAACCGCACGATGCACCTCTCCATTGAGTGGCGGCCGATTGCATACATTTCACAGCCATTCTATTCTATTGCGTGTATGTGTTTTTGTTGGCGATCATCCATCGTACGTACAGTTTGTCTGTCGGTGGTGTGTCCGTCCGTCCGTGCGCTGCCTGCATGTGTGTCTGTGGACCGATACATCAATCAACGCATTGTGCAGTTTTAAACGTACGAACACACCACAACCAATAGTTCCCGACATCCCACTCACTCCCTCACAACGCCCACAGGGGCCTGCGCACACAGCATGGCCACATACCGATGTGTTGATCACATCTGGTGCGCCCGTCTGAGCGTCTGGAAGGCCTGCAGGGCCTTGCCAAACACAGGGGCAGCAGCAGTGGGGCCCTAAGACACACATTCATTCACACACACACACAGTCTTGAGGATGTGTGCCACCGTATGCTTCTTTCTCACTCACCCCCGGCACGAATGGGACGTCAAACTGTCTCCCATCGGGTATGTCCACCAAAGGAATTGGCTCCGGCAGACACGCAGGCGGCCCCTTGATGCCCAGCCGCCGGTCGTCGGGCAGCTCCTCAACCCCACCCACACAGTCGTACCACATCAATGAGGACTGGGAAGAATAAGACGACCTCTGCTGCTGCTGTTGCTGCTGCTGCAATAGTGTCTCCTGGACGCACAGCCGCTCCAGGCTGAGGTGGAGGTTGGCTGAGAGCAGCTCTGTCTCTGAGGCGACGATTAAGTCTGGGGGCGAGGGGGAGAGGGGCGGGGAGGGGGAGGGGGGGCTGCGGTCGCCAGAGGGGGCCGCGTGTATGTGGCACAATCCGTGCTGCTCCTCCTCCTCACGCACTGAGATAAAGAGATGCAGACACAGAACACATAAACGAACGGCCTCATTGTGTTTCTTCGGTCTCTCACCAGGTGCGAGCGGTGTCTTGTTGAACGTAAGGCTCATAGCGCGGGCCGACTTGCTCTTGCTCCTGCTGCTGGCCGTGAACTTCCGTGACGCCACACCCAGTTGCGACAGAGTCTTCGCGGGATGGCCCTCAGGCCTGGCCGACGCACTCGAGCGCAGCAGATGGTCGCTCTTGGCTCGCTCCAGGGGAATGGGGAGCAGCTCCCTTAACGCCAGGCCAGCAGGGGCGGCCGGCAAACGCGTCGGTGGGGCGGGGGTGGGTGCCGGTAGGGGGGGCGAAGGTGGCTGCTTGCTGTCATTGGTGTCATTGCTGTTTGTTGGAGACACGGCGGATTCGGGGGCGGTGGTCGATGCTGTGAGATGGGAGGGCGATGTGGCAACGTCCTGGCTATCAGCCGCGGTCTTCTTTTCCGAGAGCGAGAAGCGCCTCCTCTTTTTCTGTCCCCATGACCACCCCCACCACAGCAGCCACGACCGACGCCCCCTTTTCCTCTTCTTCCGGATCTCCGCTGTCCTGAGGCATCTCAGCATAGGAAGGAGGGCCTCATACAGGCGGCAATACAGCTCCTGCTGCTCTGCCGGCCATGAGCAGTACTCCGCAGTCCTCCTCACAGCCTCAGAGAACCGGCGGTCCTTCCTTTCCACACACGCCCATCCCGGATCGCCCTGTCTCCTCCCGAATAGCCACCTCAGCCGCCACCCGTGGCAAGGGAAGAACATGCAGGTGCAGAGGGATGGCGGCGGGCCTTCCTCTGTGCGGTCCCAGAAGGAGACACCGAGAGAGTCCGAGTGCTCTTCATTCGGTGGGACTGCTGGCTCGTCGGCGAGAGAGGGACATGCCTGCAGGAGGGGCAGGGTCAGGGCAGGCCGCTTCAGGTCAGAGCGGAGATACGGGGCGGCAGCCTTGAGCAGGACAGACTCCTGAAATGTCAAAGAGACAGAGAGAGACACACATTCGGAGATGAGAATGCCATTGATTCCTTCCTCCCTACCCAGTGCTGAGCCGCCTCAGGCGACCAGAAGCAGAAGATCATTTCCATCATCCTATGGGGGGACTGTGCTTGCCGCGCGTTCATTCTGGCTTGGTGTCTCACCGCTGCCCTTCCACTCCCAGGCCGTGGTGTCTGCCAGGCTCTCCTGGCGACGGCCTCCTTGTCGCGTGAAAAAGAGGATGAGCTCTTGCTTTCCTCAGCTCTTCCATCGGCTGACTGCCGTGGTGAGGACGGGACTGGGCATGAGTGGGCATCAGAGAAGACTATCTGTGCACACAGAAGGAGACGGCGATGAGTGCCTGAAACCGCCGCCTCCCCTTGCTCTTACCCTCAGCCACTTGTCCTGGCTCTCCTCTGTGTGCATCCATTGGACCTCTGCCAACCACACACACATGGCGTCTCACTGATGAATTGGCCGTATGCTCGTGAATTCTCTCTTACCCCCGAATTGGTCCAGATGAAGCCGCAGATCGTGCCTGCGTGGCTTCAGTACTCCCTGTCGGAAGTCTGGAGGCCTCCTCAGAATGAGGAGGACCTCACTGATCACATCCAGGACCATCCAACAGGGCCTCCACAGCCACCTGCACATCCAAACAACGCAACAGCACCAACATCATGGCACCAACCGCCGACGAAAATCTGCATGTCATGACGGTCAGCATGGATGTGTCTTACTCGCCGCAGAGCATCCACAGCTGCTCCCAGTACCACAATGGCTCTTCGGGGTTCATTTCCTTGTTTGTGGGCACTTCAAGGGGGCCCGTCGAGACGGGAGACGGGAGACAACTTGCAGATTTGTGGTCAAAAATTGCAGATTTGTGGTCAATTTCGACAAGATACGTGTCAGCGACCTGCCGGCTGGGTCGGCGGCATCTACAATGCGCTGCGCATCCGCTGACGGCGTTCGCGGAGGGTTCGGCCCCATCTGCCACGCGGTGGGCAGGAGCTGCCTGGCTGTCCTCGCCAAGGTCGCCCCTGCTTGGCAGTGCCAGTGGTGGACTGGATGAACGACCTGCTCCTGCGGGGGCATTGGGCGGGCGGCTTTTCTGCATAACGCTGGCGTTTGTAAGCATTGTGCAGCTATGCTCAAGAAGAGAGGATACGGAGTGACCACTGTAGGCAAGGGACAGGTGAGGATTCATACACACAGAAAGGAGGCCGGCGTGGATTTTTATGCCTCGTTGCTGTGCGGTCTTCACACCAAGACACTTCCCGCAAGGGACAGCCTGCCGGAGACCGTCTGTCCGTCCCCATCTCTTTGTGTACGTGTATGTGGTGCAGGTGGGTCTAGGCGCCAACTGGCTGCATGCGTCACCGGGCGATCCGCACCATCACCAACACCAGCAACCAGATCGTGCCCGTTCATCGGTTCGTGGTGGTTCACACACTTACTGGACGAAAAGTAAGTACACAGAGCAAAGCCGTCACTGCTCTTCTTCCTGTGGGTGGGTGGCGGGCTCGTGCACGTCAGGTGGGGTGTGATGGCGAAGTCCACCGCTCATCCAGGCCATCAATGCATGCCACCAGTGGAGTCGTTGAATGATGTGTGCAGCGCCTTAATTCGTGTATGGCCCCGTCAGTGGTGTCAAGGTGCTCACATAGAAACACGAGAGCTGTATTACACGCCCAGTCTGGCGGACTTCAGCCAAGCAAAGCAGGATGGATGTAAGAACGAGACCAAAGGGGGCACCACCACACACACACCGCTGGCTGCATGTATCTCGCAGTGTTGATGTTTCGAAGATGGCCATGCACGACCTCCCCCCAGAGCTCCTGCAGCAGCCCGATGGTTCCCGCACAGCGACATATTCTCGCTCGGTAAGTCTACGTACGGCTGATATGTGGAATGCGGCCGACCATGTGTGGGCACTCTGTGGATAAAAAATGGACTCCCGTTCGCGACCCAACCAGCCCCCACCACATCTGCGGCTCCCCCGACGGGTTCGTGGGAGCAAGGTGGGAAACGGCGTGCACCATGAAGACGGCAGTCCTGTTTGTTCCTTTGTCTCTGCGTCTGCCATCAAACAAACACCAGAGACATCACTGTTGTGGGAGTTGCTATCTCTGTGGCGCTATCTCAGTGTCTCTTTCGGGTTTCAATGCGGGATCTGGACGACTTGAAGACGTCATGCTGAAATCGCTGCTTACATTTTATATTTGGCACTTTTCCCATCGACATTGATGCATTGCTCGTCTGCTCACTGTTGCAGCTGCATGCTGGACATGTTTCATTGGGACGTTTGCTGGTTTGTTGGGGTGGGAGCTGTTCGCGCGTTGCTAAGTCGAGTCTTTCGTGGGTGTGTATTGGATGGATGGATGGATGGATGAGTGTGCGGACACCATGCATGTGTATGACGTGCACGTCAACGTCATGAATTGCCCGAGTACCTCACGATTGCTCTCAGTCGCATACATACGTACATGGCAATCATTTATTCGCTCACTCCTGCCGGCGCACGCCTGGTGTGTGATGCTGCCCGCCAGCCGCAACAGCGAGTGGAGGAAAACCCGCCAAAATGCATCCGACGGCAAGTCAGAAACGCAATTCAACACCACACAGCCAGTCATCGTCTGTACAGACGTCCATAAAAACCATGGACACGCACCCCCGCCCACCAACCCACCCATCCGTGAGCCATCACTACTCATCCCCTTTGCTCAAGCGCAGTGGCTCGTTCTTGGATCGACCCCTATACACACCATTATCATCAGCCGCAGTGCCGATACCGCCATTCCCCTCTGTCACCGGGGCCCCCTTGAGACGTCTGCCCTCCGGGCATAGAGGACGGATGAGACACTCAACGCACTGTACGTACACATGAACACACACAGGCGCAGAGAGGCAGCCCAGCCACGGTCGGTGTGTTGTGCATCCATGTGCATCCATGTGCAGCCATCCATCCTTTTGTCAATCAGCAGGTCATGCGCTCACCCTGGGCCCGACGGGCAGGCAGATCTGCTGTCCGAAGCCCACCAGCAGCGGATTGATTTCCCTCCATTTCTCCGTGGGGACCCATGACTCCAGCGCCGACTGGGTTTGTGCAGGCGTCTTGGTCTTGACCCATCGCAGCCTGGCAGACAGACAAAAGCAGCAAGAGGGGTGCGGTGGGTGGGTGGGGTGGTTGGTTGTTCATCCTGTCCGTCCATGAGTCAGTCACCTATTGGCGATTCGATGCACGTGGATGTCGACTGCGATGCCATCCGATTTGTCGAAACACTGATGGACATGAAGGCAGCACAGAGAATGAATGAACTGAGAGGCTTGTTTCCTGTCTCACTGACCGCCTGCAGGATGATGTGTGCCATTTTTGGTCCCACCCCCACCAGAGCCACTAGCCCCTCGGTGGTGGAGGGGATGTCACTGCCGTAGTCACGCTGTAAGATCTCACACACCTGACGGATGTACCTGCATAAATACATCCATCCATCAGACAACACAGAGGGTGTGTTCCTGACGTTGGTTGATGTCTGTGGGTGTGGTGTGGTGGCTCACTTCGCTTTGTTATTGTGAAAGCCCACACCATACAGCAGCTCCTTCAGCGCATCTGCACACCAATAACAAAGACATGGAAGGGAGGGCATTGTCAGTGTGCTCTGTGTTAATGGCGTCCGCTGTTGGTACCATCTGGCGTTGCGAGGATGTTCTCCACCGTCAGCCCGTGCGCCTTCAACCGGTTCATGCAAGCTGGAAACACACACACACGCGCATTCGCACGCATGCACACTGGCGCCCCTCTGTGTTTTCCCTCCCACCTCGCCCACCTGCTACGTGTTCGTCTTTGGTCTGCGAGGAGAGCATCGCAGCTATCAAGGTCTGAAACCGCTGCAAAGAGCCGCAGCAGAGAAAAGACGTCAGCCTCGTCCCTTGTGCATGTGAGTGGCGTGTGAGATGGGGTGGGGTGAGGTGAGGAGAGGGTGCGTACCCATATCGGGGGCGGCTGTGAACGGTCACCTGCATCAGCCATCATCAAGGAGGACAGGTGCGACCTTGGTGAGGGTAGTGGACATGTGTGTCGACGTACCGCAGCACTCGATGCCGAAGTGATCCACAGGCGCATTGCGGGCCTTCCGCATCTCAGACACACCTGCATGGGCACACGCAAACCACACAGAATGAATCTGCTACATCAGGGAGTGCATACCATCCCAAATCTCCTCAAAGTTGTCTGGTGGCGCCACAGTCTGCCGCTCGCCTTCTCCATCCTCATAGGACACAGCCACCCGCTGCCGCCTCTTCCTCTTGACAGACACACGCGACGGCACCTCACCCCCTCCTACATCCCCATCATCCACCTGCCCCTCCATATCCACAGCGGCAGACTGCCCTCTCACAGACGCCTTCACCTTGATCTTGCTGCGGTACGCTCTCTGCAGAGGCGCATTGTCGTCGGCGTCATCCATCAGCTGATCAGCTGGCACATCGGCTGATGCTTGGGCGCCTTCCGTGCTGGCTGCGAGAAGAGATAACGAGGTCGAGCGGTGGCGCAGGGGATAGCGCTCAGCCATGGTGGTGGGCAGATGCAACCGCCGTGCCGGGCGCCGTTGGGAGAGGGAGAGAGGTAGTATGAATGAGGAGTGAGCTTGAATTGGCAGATATCCCAGCAGCAGGTCCACCACAGCTACACGAAGAACCGATACGAGCATACGCACTTCCCAGAAACATCATCTATGTCAGCCTGGTTGGTTGGTTGGTTATTGTGTTTAACGTTACGTTTAGCGAGGTGCAAGCTCGACATGCACGGAGACCCCCACCGCCCCCACGGAAGACGGGTTCGCCATGGCTCCGTCTACGAGCACTATCAAGGTCGCCGTGAGGGTTCGGCCGCTCAACCAGCGTGAGAAAAAGCTCAAGGACCTTAACTGCATCGCCATCAGCGACGACTCGACGACGCTCGTTGTCCAGCACGAGGGCGCCCCTGTGGATGAAGGCGGCGGTCTGCCCCTCCTGGCTGTGGGTGGGGCGGCTGTCTCATTTGGCGGCGACGGAGAGAATCGGTTCACTTTCGACCACGTGTTGGACGAATCGTGAGCGGGAGGGAGGGAGAGGTATTGGGGCCTTGTTACTTGTTCGTTGTCTCCCATCTTTCCCGTCAGTGTTGAGCAGCATGATGTGTATGACAACCTCGGCGCGGAGCTCATCGACAATGCCTTGGGTGGATACAACGCGTAAGCACACATTCACACCTGGACACGGCAACCCTGCATAGTCAATGGATCTGTGCAGGACCATCTTTGCATATGGCCAGACGAGCGCAGGTCATCCCTGACACCGCACAACGCGATTTTGGCAATTTCTTCTGTACGCATACATGCAGGCAAGAGCTTCACCATCCTCGGTCCCCCCTCCAATCCGGGTATCTTGCCGCGCGTGTGCAAGACTCTCTTTGAGCGCGTGGAGGCACAGAACGAGGCGTTCAGCAGGGGAGACCCCAGCTGCACGGACGAGTGCAAAGTGCAGGCATCCTACCTAGGTATACATGCATATACGTACACCAATAAAATGCACAAACGATCGAGACACGTATACCTATGTATCTATCGATTTGTGTCTCGTGTGCTCAGAGATCTACAACGAGCGTCTGCACGATTTGCTCAGCCCCGACAAGCCTGCGAGTGGCCCTTTGGCTGCCGCACCGCCCGTGCTGGACATCTACAGCCATCCCGTGTTCGGTGTGTACATTCCCGAGCTCACCGAACCCGCCGTCAAGACATATGATGTAAGAATAGGACACGTGTGCAGGGATGTCCGACGGATGCATCATGCTACACTCAGGATGTGGACCGTCTACTCCAATTTGGCTCGAAGAAGCGGACGGTGTCTGCCACCAATCTGAACGCCATGTCATCCAGAAGCCACACCGTTTTCACTCTCACCGTTCAACAGGTAAGTGAGGCCCCACAGCTTTGACAAAGCCACACACCCATTGATTGCTTTCTCCCTGTAACTCACATAGATTCCTCGTGACCGCAAGAAGGGTGTCGCCAAGTTTGCGAGGCTGCACATCATCGATCTTGCGGGCAGCGAGCGGACGGAGAAGAGCAAAACGGGTGGCGAGCGGCAGGTGGAGGGCTCCTTCATCAACAAGGTCAAATACCATCCTAACCAACCATACACCAAGGTCAAATACCTGTCAAATACCTGTGTACTCTAGTCACTCACGACGCTGGGTATGGTGATAAGCCGATTGGCGGAGATGCAGGAGCAGCAGGAAAGGGATAGCAAGACCACCGGATCGCCGAAACGACCATCGCTGGCGCCGGGGTACCAGACATACAAACAGGGTGCATCAATGATGGCCTTGATTTATCACTCTGTGTGTGTTCAGTCGACCGTCCTTGAAGCGGAGCAAAGCCGTCGTGAATGTGGGTGCCACATCGATCCACATCCCTTACCGAAACAGCAAGCTCACATACATACTCAGGTACACCCACGCCACAAACAAGAGACACACTCAATACGTTATTCTCCCCCAATTTCCCCATCAGCGACTCACTTGGCGGCAATTCTCGCACCTGCATGATCGCATGCATCTCCCCTGCCCTCTCCAACGTCTCAGAGACCCTCTCAACCTTACGCTTTGCCACTCGTGTCAAGAAGATCACCAACAAGCCCAAACTCAACGTGACCGAGAGCGACAAGCTCGTGGCCGACCTAAAGAGCGAGATAGCTCAGCTTCGGCAGCAGCTGGAGGACGCCAAGAAGACCACCGCCATTGGCGGTGAGCTGCCCATGCTGGCCGACATGAGGAATGAGCTGCGCAACAGGGAGACACTCGTCAACAAACTCCAAGCGGGAGACGCGGTGGGTTGGCTTTGCAGGCACATACGATGTGATCCATTGCGTATTGTGTGTGGTCAGGAGAAGGAGGCGGCTGATTTGGCGTCTCGTCAGCTTCATCTGCTGCAGGAGCTGGGTCTTGGCCCGTCTGGCGGTGGAGGGGTGGGTGTGGCCTTCACTAGCCCTTTCGGAGACATGCCTTACCTACTTGTCAGCCACACATACACAGAGAGAAACAGAGAGAGAGAGCCACCGACCACTGTGAGTGTGCGTGGTGAAACAGAACATCAGCGACGACCCGATGTTATGCGGCACTCTCATGTATTTCATCAAACCTGAAGCCCCGGGTGAGGACGTCGACACCACCCAGGGCACCACCATCGGCACAGCAGAGGACGCCACGATCGTGTTGCGTGGCTTGGGGCTGCACCTCATGTCATGCCGGATCGTCAATGACGCCAACACACGACTGACACTCATACCTGAAGACGCCAAAGTCATGGTGAATGGGTGGGTGGGTGGAGGAGAGAGATCAGGACATGTATGAATGGGTTTGTGTGTGTGGCACAGGTGAATGGCAGGGTCGTCCCCAAAGGCGTGCGTCACTTGCTGCGCAACCACGATCGCATCGTCATCGGCCGCGCCTTTGTGTTCCGCGTCATCATCCCATCCGCCATCGCGGCCGCTGCTGAATCGCCGACACAAGTAGCGAGGAGGGACGATGGCAGCGAGGAGGGCGAAGACGCTGTCGATATGTCCAAGGTGAGTCGGTAAGAACGGCCGGCATCATGGAAACGTCTTTGGTGTGTGTGTCAGGTGTTGAGTGAGATATTGGTGGATGAGACGGCAGTCAGCAGAGCCGTCGAATACGCTAACTTGCTGCAGGTGAGCTGAGCTAGTGAGAAAGCTGCACGTTTGTATGCTCCTTGCGCCTTGGCAGGATCGCATTGGGTTCAAGAAAGCGCAGTCATTCCTCGAGCGGTTCAAGGAGATCATCGCACTGGGTAAGTGGTAGGAAACGGGCAGCACCGGAGTGTATATGTATTGCGTCTGGCCCCGCTGACAGTGGACGAGGCCAACGAGATCACACAGGAGATGCGCAGCGAAGACAGGCTCAGGTGAATGAAGGAGACAAAGCACACAGTGACTGAATCGTGTTTCTCTCTCCGCAGCATGACCGCCCGAGTGCTCAGCGACCCATTTGACTACTCGGTGCTCGTCTGACAAGCAAATGTCAGGATGATCAATGTATGTTATGTCAGGATGATGCGCCTGCGATAGTTGTTCGTCTGTCGCGCCACAGCGAAGAGGGAATGGTGGAGCCCGTGTGCATGTGGGACACCGTCGAGTTCCTCTCCAGGCTCGACCTTATGAGAAACGCTTACCACGTATGCACAAACATACATACACCAGACGCACGCCATCTTCCGGAGCACATACATGTTTTGTCCCGTCTCACATTCAGGAGTATTGTGAGGAGGGTGTGTGGGAGAAGGGTCCCCTTGAGTCCGACCCGTGGATGCAAGTCTCACTCGTCGAATTGGAAGCCAGCGTGGCTGACATCAAAGCAAAAGTGTGGCTGGAGGCAGAAGCGGTAGGCACCACACCACAATGTCACCTACCTGCTGCCTCTGCCATCCCCCAAATGCAGGCCATGAAGCTCTTCGTCGAGGAGCGGCGTAAAGAGAAGACCACTCAGCAGAGGGAGCAGCTAAAGCGCAGCTCAACCATTACACGCGCCAGCGAGACCTCCCCCACCACTGCCGGCAGGGGACGAGCAGACGACAGGAAGCGGCACAAGGGCGAAACTGCTGCAGGAGACACAGAGGGCTGGAGCATCCAGCGCTTTGAGCAAATGGTGCGTTCAGCCCAGGCCGACATGGAACTCACACAGATGGAGAGCAACATTAAGAAGGCCGCCAGATCCGCATCAGTGTTTGCAACGCACACACACAAACGCAACGGGCAACACACGCCTGCCGGCCTGTGTCTCTGTGCTTCATTACAGTGTGGTTCATTCAATGGAAGAGCTTCCTGTGCCGAAGAGCCCACAAATGCAGACATTCAGCCCACCCGCAGCTGCGTCCCGAAGGAACATCCGGTCATCGACCGTCCAGAGCGCACCCCCTCGGCCACCCATCTCTTCCCCCTCCACTCCTTTTTTCCCACAAACACAGCCGGATGACGCAGCAGTCGACAGGCGGGACACCCTTGACTCGTTGGTCTCCTGGGAGATGGTGCCCAGGGAGTCGGTCGCCTCATGGCAAGTCGTGCCCAGCCCGCTGCGCCAATCCCGGGCAGATGTGCCTGCCATCGAGCCCCCCGACAGGCTCCCTTCCGCTGCACCACCAACAGGCCTTCCAGCCGCTGCAGTACCTACAGGAGTCAGGAGGTGGACAGAGCACGGAGTCCTTGCACAGAAGGAGGGGGCTACACCCAAGACGGTCAGGATCGGTGGCGTCGAGACTGCAGACCAAACAAACCAACCAGACCAAGCAGCGGCCGCCGGCGGCGGCGAACAGGGCAGGAGGACTTCGTTTGCGCTCATGAACATATTCACGGTGAGCTCGAAAGGATACACATATGAGAATGGTGCCTCAACCTCGATGGTTGCTCAGGACCAGGTACAGAAGGCCCTTGTGGACCAGAAGAAGAAGCGGCAGGAGGTGGAGAGAAGAAGAAGCCAACTCCACATATCGCAGGAGTTGGCCCAAGGGACAGTGGTGACACGGGCAGCCGTTGGCCGGTCATCCTCACGGCCGCTCCGAGCTGTCACCGACACGGAGTCCTTCGTGCCGGGCGGGCCAACGACGACAGAGGGAGAGGGCCGGGGTGGTGAGGATGATCAGGGCGCCAAGACTGTGGTGGAGGCGGTGGGGGAAGTGCTGGGCAGGCTCTATGACAGGACCAAGACACAGGACGAGAACATGGCAGGTGGGTGGGCGGACACACATGGCCTGACAACTTCCATCACCTCACCCCCTTTGTGTATCTGCAGATCGTATCAAGCAGGTTGCAGCTCAGCTGAAAGATGGAAGCGGCCATGAGGTAGCATCCACGGAGCCTCTGCCGCTGTCTTCCATTCTCGAGAAGATCTTTGACAAAATGCTCGCCACAGCAGAAGAGAAAGAAGCCGTCGAAGAGTCCGGCAGACCCGCCGGAGTCAACGTGCACGTCCAGACAATGGAGCAGCAGCAGCTCCTTGTGCATCTGCCCACAACTCTCATTCAGCCCTCCTCTCTGGACCTTTTGCTGAGGAGCTACCACGCCCTCATCACGGCGGCACGCCAGATCTGCGCCGAGCTGTCGACCAGCGAGGCGGAGCTGCTGTCGATCGCCTCCGCCATCATGGCAGACGTGCAGATATTCGACCAGCTGCTGGGCAGGGCGACTCCTGCAGCAGCAGCAGCAGCTGCTGCTGCTGCTGCAGGCACGGAAGGGGACGACGCACAGGCGGCCGTGGAAAGTTGCCTGAATAGGATTGAGAGTATCTTTAATGTCCTGTACGAGCAAAGTATGCGGACAAAAGAGACGAGGAGGCACAGAAATATGTATGTCTCATAGATGTGTCTCTGTCTATCTGTGTCTGTCTGTCTGTCTGTCTGTCTGGGGCAGCTTTCATTGTATCTCAGCTGGATCGGTATCTCACGGAGCACAGCAAGAGGTGAGCAATGTGAGACACACGTGCAGCCAAGACACGGTACTTTCCAAACGGGGTTTCTTCAGATACGACTCTTCCCGAGCGCTGCTCGACAGCTGCCCTGCCGATAGTCCGGAAAGAACAATAGCTGACGGTGACAGTGGTGGTCACCAGCCAAGAGAAAGCGTCCTCGCTCAAGACACTCACCACCAGCCCCCTCACGCCGCCATCACCCAGCCGGCCTTGCCCCCACAAGCAGCGGGAGTATCCGTGCGGCCTCCCATCGTGCAGCCAAATAGCAATCACATGACGCGGCCATTCCCATCGGGGCGCCCTAGTATGATCCGCGGGCACATGATGCCAGCGCCGCTATTTTCTCCCCCACAGCTGCCGTCCGGCTATGTGCGGCCAGTCATGATGCCAGCTCAAAGGCCAGCTCTGTGGGCGGCAGGCAGGGGAAGATGAGAATGCTGCTGTTGACAGAGGAGGGGTGTCGAAAGGGGGACCTTAGTTGAGATGTCTGAACGTCAATCGACATGCAATGAGGGCCGGTGTGAGACATGTTGTGGCAAGTCCACCCACGTACGTACGCCTTTCAGTGCTTAGTGCCTACTTATGTGAGTGAGAGTAGGGAGATAGACATCAGGCCGTACACTTTGTGTAAGGACGAGGAGTATTGTGTTGCATTGTTTCATGGTTCATGCATATAACAGAGCCATTCAATCAAAGGTACATGCAGCATCGATCCGTCCAAGCAACGAATGCATACAAACCATACAGTAAGCAGACGTTATGCACACACACCACCCGCCCGCCCTTGTGCAAGACTTGTAAAGCCGTTTTGATGATGTCGCTGTCGAGATTAAAGCGTTCCATCATTGGTTCACTCGTGTGTGTCCATCATGACACATTGACAGGCAGACAGGTATCAGCGTGCGCTAGTAAGCGGATATTTTTTTGTTTATCGTAGGCCCTCGTCTCTGGCCACAGGAGAGACCCACGGCCAAAAGGCAAAGCCATAGGCAAAAGGCAAAGCCATAGGGTTTAGGGTTTTAGGGTTTAGGATTTAGGGTTTAGGGTCTAGGGTGTAGGGTTTAGGGTTTAGGGTTTAGGGTTTAGGGTTTAGGGTTTAGGGTTTAGGGTTTAGGGTTTAGG